AAATCAGAATAATATTGCATTTGAAGGATAAACATGCTTTGTGATCACCCGAGGATTATGGGTAGCCCTGGGGAGACGTGACCCATTGTCTTTTCTTCTTACTGTTCCACGGCAGACTCTCTAGGGGAGAAAAATCAGAGTGAGGTGTCATGTAATAAATAGAAGGTACCTCCTCCCACAGCCTCCTTCAGCCCATACCACATCTTTCCTCTGCGTTCTGGAGGATACCATGCTGCAGTCCTTATCTTCCCTGGTCATCTGTGTCTGAGACCATGCGTATCTCTGAAGGGGACCTTGTGCATTACAGGAGCAGGCTGACATTGTGGGAGACTTGCTCTTGATTCCCCAAATTAATTTCCATCTCCACAGGTTGGTCTTGGGGGGGGCAGCCTGGGTCTGAGGGGCACCATGGATCTCTTCCGGGTGTGATGCCAACAGTTGACCAGGCTCCCAACTCTACTTTGACAAGCTTCTTAATAGAATCTCTCCTGTGTTGCAAAGTTTAATTTGCCAGGTGTTCATCTGGCTCCCAGAAACACACTCTACCACGAGCTAGAGAGCATTCAGTCTGCAGCTCAAGCTAGTGTCAAAGGTGAAATCCGGGGGGGTGGTAAGACGAGGACTGCAATGAATCTTTAACAATTTGGAGGACTGTAGCTGTACAGAGTGTCTTGCCAGGCAATCGTATGCCTGTTTACAGCTTTGTAGACTGTTGCAGCGAAGACCACCTTCCACTCTGCCTGGACCATCACTCACCATTCTGTCCGATGTTGGTCTGTCACTGTCCCCAGCCACCCTTTCTGTAACCCTTCCTTGAGGTTTGCTTGGGTGTCTTTAACACCAGTCTTGAGATAAGTCACTCTCATGTGGACACTGTGATAGCACAAGATACTGATAATGTAACCGGATATGTTTTGACTTCTATGAAGAGCTTTCCTTTGAGTCTACGGGGTGTATTTCACAGCTTGCCCTGGATTTTGTCTGCAAAATGGGGTCTGAGGAAACAAAGCAGGCTTATTTTTTGAAGGTGTTTTGGGAGCATTTAGAGTATAAACCCGATGTATCTCCTACTCCGGCGATAACGGTGACTGAAGACACACTAGGAACAGTGAGTCTGGACGTACCCAGTGTGGCCCGCTGTTGTGGTTAAGCGGAGCTGGTGTGGATTTATTGCAATGTTTGTTTATTTCTGCCTTGGTCACACAAGCATGTCAGATGCTGCATTGCACCATTGTTAAGACCCACACTTGCGTGGTACTGGTACGGTGTTCGGTGTATCCTTTAGTAGAACAACGGGGACAACTTTTCGTCCCAGTCTGGTCTTTCAACCTTACAACCATATTTATGAGGCAAAAAAGGAAACGAAAACTGTGTGTGTGTGTGTGTGAGAGAGAGTGAGAGAGAGTGAGATTTCTGGGTACAGTCTGTGGCTGGGGTTGCATTACGATTGATCTGTTTGGAGTAATGGAGACCAGTGGTCTGTAGCAGAGTCTCCCGATTGTTTCTGTGCCTGAAAAGTCCTTTTGTCGCTGCATCATCCAGCATTGTGACAGTGTGGGGAACAAGCCAGGAAAAGCGGCCTGAAAACCAATAGGCTTTACGGGCTCCATGTTCCTCAGGCTCTTCTGCGGTATGAAAATTAAAATGCAAAATAAAAAAGGAAGCAAGATGTCAACTAAGACGTAATGGAGTGGGCCGGGGGGGTTATAATGTCTGAGTTCAGTGTTGTATCGGGGCCATTCATAGGTCGGGAAAGATACGTTGAATATTGGGGGGGGGACATTTTTCTAGCTGCGTTTGGATTTTCTCTCCTCACGTCCTAAATGACAGCCGGGAAGTTAGGGTTGTGCAGTTTACCATAGTGCTAAGACGACAAAAACCTTCATTTGTATAATGCCAACAGCTGTTCTTCCCCATGACATCTGCTTTTTTTTTTTTTGGCTCAGACACCCTTTTGGTACTCTTCCCATCCTGAGGTAACGGCACATCCCATAATACCCCCAGCTTTTTAAAAACGGGCTGAACTTTAGTGAGTGCCGTGGTGGCCGGCCCAAGTCGGAGGGGCTGAATCCCCCCACCCCCCCACGCTCTTGTCACTGACAGCTGGTGTTTTCTTGCCATGTGACAATGCCTGGGCATTCTCCTGGACCCCGCAGGGAGCGTGAGTTTCCCATCACCCTGGGTGACCTTAAAATATGATTTATGGCAAAGCCTGCACCCACTTCACCTCTCGCCGGCATGGGAGTTCTAATCGCTCGAGCCGCAAGAGAATCGATCGGCCTGCCGCTTTGTGTTCAGCAGTCTGGCTCGCCTTGGCTCCCAATTGCAAAGAAGTCTCCTTCAGGTGTCCTGGTTACAGCAGGAGCAACCAATGAGGTGAAAGGACTCCCTTTGTCCCTGGCTAGCATGCTAAATGATGGCCACCAATCAGAGGACTCTCTCAAGCAACCGGCCAACTGCGACGCACCTTAGGTTGTTAAAGATTTAAGAGGGATGTGGTAGGTAGGGCATCTTCTCATGTCTCTCAGTCTGATTCTTTCTCTCTCTCTCTCAAACTCAGACACACACACACACAGGTTTGTAATTATATCTTTATGGGGACTCTCCATTCATTTCTATGGGGAAAGCTCTAATCACAACATGACAACCTTAACCCCTACCCAGCCCTAACCTTAACCATAAGTAAACAAACAAAATACAAGACTTTTGGCATTTTTAGTTTTTTGATTGCATTCACAGATCTTTGTGGGAACCTGTAAATTGGTCCCCACAACGCCAAAAAAACAATGTAATATAAACCTAATCCACACACACACACACACACTGTCCTCTCAGCAGCTACCTAGAGAACAAGCTCTGAGCGTTATGTCATCCAATGACTGTGAGCAGACTCTTCAGTTTCCATTAGCCCTGATCTTTCTGCAAACACATGGAGTAATTCCATTTCCTTTTCTCATCTATGGACACGTGTCACTCGTAGACTGTACCTGACTTGTTTCCGGAAGGCAGGGGAAGAACCACGGTTGGTCAATGGTCAAGTGAAAAACATGCGAGCATGATAGCAAAGCATGTCTTGCCCTTTACCACGGTCAAGCCGGTAACTAACAGCAGATTGAGAATCCTCTCCCAGCTGCATGTGTGATCTGTGGGCAAGTTGCCAGGAATCTCTTGTCTTAGCCATACTTTGCTATTTCTTGCCTGTCAGCTTGACAGAGCTACTTGGGCCCGAGCCGCCTGTTCTCCTTGCTCTTGAGGTGGTTGTTGGGTAGGGGGCGTCAGGCAAAGGGCCCACCTGCTCTTTTGGACTGCTCGATCCCTCCGAGTCCTTACTGTCCCCTTCCCATCTGTCATGTCTGCAGAAAGTATCTGAGAAGGCCGTGTCTGCCGCTTCCTGACCGTACACCCCACCTTCTGCTCTGGACATCTACAGCTTCCAGCACCTACATTCAGATATTTACCTGTTTATATACTTTTTATTTATTTAGCAGACAGCTTTCATCCAAAACAACAAACATGCTTGGCAAGCAATGCATTTGAGAGAAGCAGGATCAGCTACTGAAGGGCACACGACAGAAATCACTCCGCTGAGCCAGTCGTTGGAATGGGCGACTTTCAGATGCCTGCGTGTTTCGCTCCATTGGCCCTAAGCAACCACGTTCACGTGGAAACTAAATGAGGTGATGCGGAGGCCTGCCTCAATGTATTCCTGAAGACGCTACGGTTCACAAGTTTAAATACCATGTCGGACGTACCCCTGAGAAAGGTCCTTAGATGGGACTCTGGTGAGTATCCGTATAGCTGCATAAATAATGTGAAAAATCCAAGATATGAAAGTTGAAACAGGGCTGACAGGAGGTACTTGCTCAGATCTGCCGAAGGGTGAGAATGTGTGAGCAAAGCGAGGTGACAGCATTACTGGGTCAGAACGTGGCCCCACAGGTGTGACTCTTCCTCGCCTTCCTTCACACTGAAGCCATCTGCTTCGCTGGTATAATTAGCTTCACGTTTCCTGCGCTTTAATAGCAATTTCAGTGTTGACATCTCATTCCTGTCAGTCCCCGAGCAAACACGCAGAGCCGGCTGCTTCCGTCAAACCAAGAAAAAAAGCTATTTTTTTCCTGGTTTAATGAAAAAAAGAAGGAAAAATGTTAGGAATTGCACCAATTCAGGGTTATCAGGGAGATGGGGCAAGCGACATTAAAGTTGAGGTAATGATATGTTAACGTTCAAACACGCTTGGCTAGGAAAGCCAGAATGCCAGCAGAGACTCTTCCGGGACTTTGTTCCTGTTTAGCAAGCATGTGCTTGCATCGTTGCGTGTGACGCCATGGCCATCGCTGTGTTATACACGTCAGCTCCCACACTACAAAAAGCCCAGCTAAGCTACGCTAAACAAACTGACTGGGAGAAACGTTCTGTGGGAGTTAAAACGTAGGAGTACAGGTTTCGTGCTGCCTGACAGGCTTGACTTGTTCCCAGCAATTCTTCAATGAAACTTTTTAGCTATGCACTAATAACAAGGTGTCTATTAATTTAGGTACCTGTGGAGCCAGAGGCACGTAGCTAACCATTATGTATTCTGTTAGAGAGATTTGTCTACCAATTATTGCTAATTTAGTTAAGCTACAGGTGGAGTCTTATGTGTATAAAAGACAATCATGATTCTGTGGGTTAAACCACCTGTTGAGCAGATGATTGGTGATGCATAATTTAGGTTATAAATTTAAAAATTCATTATTTTTTTGAGTCTTAATTGAACATAAGTAATGGGTGACTGATCCTTCATGAAAAAAACCCAAGGAAAGGCAGAATTTACTACCACAGAGTCACTTTCCCTGGGTCTGCCCTGTGTCCCCACAGAGTCACTTTTCCTGGGTCTGCCCTGTGTCCCCACAGAGTCACTTTCCCAGGGTTTGCCCTGTGTCCCCACAGAGTCACTTTCCCAGGGTCTGCCCTGTGTCCCCTGAAAATAATGCCGGGCTACTTGTTGGCTTTTGTAGGAAGAAGTCATTCCTGTTCGCCGCCCTCTATGGAGCCTGCATCCTGGGAGGACGGCACCTGATGAAGCAGCGGGAGAAGTTCGAGCTGAGGAAACCGCTGGTGCTTTGGTCACTGACGCTCGCCGTCTTCAGGTCAGCCTCAGCCTGCCAATACACTGACTGTCAAATGTGCACCATGGTGCGAAACGGCCTTTCTCACTCGATAAACTCGGTCAAGGAGTTAACAGAGCACGGGCGACAGCTTTATCTAACCACACCTCCACACAACCAGAATGGAAGGTCTACAGAAAAATGTTTAGTGACCAATACTTGGCTGTACTCTCAGATAAATGGACAAGACGGTTTCTTAATGCTTTTCACCTGTAATTCCTCTGTAAGTTTAATGTTACTTTGCCGGCTTTTACACGTAGCCCATTCTCTACTCTCTACTCTCTACTCTCTTGAGCACAGCGTAGAAGTATGGGCAATGTTGGCCTTTCAAACACCCTTTAGTTTCTATGGCCTTTATAAGACGGTGTTTGCTGTCTGTTTCTCATCGTGGGATGTTCTAAAACAGGGGCAGGGAACCTGATCCATGGAGGGCCGGTGTGGGTGTGGGTTTGGTGACCTTTCAGTCACCCAATAACAAATCAGTGGTTCTCAACTGCAGTCCTGGGGACCCACTGTTATTGGTTGATTGAGAGGTCATCCCAAAAACCTGCACCCACACTATCTCCATGGATCAGGTTCCCTATCCCTGTTGTGGAACATGATTGCGGGACACGCCCACATTCTGTTGGCAAACCGAAAAGGCTCTTTCATTGGTCAGATGTGCCACACCCCCTGACCAAACTAAGCCGTGTGTGCAGTGGAGGTCAACTTCAGATAACCTGACCTGGGGCATTAAAAATGGGTCATAAGCAAGAGCAGAACCAACCTGGAAACACCTATGGATGGTCCTTCCACCCAGCTTCCCTCCATCTGTGTCTGCGTTAAACCAAATCAGCAGAAGCTCCCCGGCTGTGATTTGTTCCATTAGGATACTAAAGTGAGCTGTGCCTAGCAACCACTGCGATAAACTGAGTCTGCATCATTCCCTTCTGAACTCCGCTGCTATGTGTGCTCAGGTTTACCGGCCGAAACACATGGGTCACCCTCAGCCTCTCAGAGTTCAGCATGTAGATGTCAAACAGCGGAAGGGAACCAGCGCAAGGGACCCCGAACTGGTGTGTGGGTGTCACTCTCCCATTGCTGCTTCAAACCACAGCGCTAGCTCCCAGCATGGTTTGGGCCAGGGTGTGTTTTCCCACCACAGCTCACCCAATCAACACCTCACTGTTGCTTCTGCTCCATTTTTTCCCCCTGGTTTCGCACTGCTGAGTCACTCTGTCCCCCCGGGGGAAACGAGCTGGCGCTGGGGGGGGGGGGGCGGCGTGGTGAAACAGTCTGGCGTTGCGATAGTTCGGCGGCGCGGCAGCAAGGTCCCTCTTGGGCAGCGGCCCCCAGCCTGCGCTTCCCTCCCCACTCCCCATCATGCCGCCATGGGCCCTACGCTCTTACATCACCACAGATTAAAAGAGCAGGACGCATGAAGGACGAAACCAGGATCTCGACTAATGATCCAGAGCTTAATCAGGATTTTCACCCCCCTGCTGATAACGCTGTGATGTCCACACAGATTGCAGTATAACATTACAGTCTGGAGCACGCTACCTGATAGATGTACCGACCCGGAACATTCCAGATTGTGTATCATAAATGTCTGCATCATTTGGCAAAGTAATTGTTTTTTAATGAGTGGATATTTCTCATCATTCTTAACGAAAGCGAGACCCTACAGAATGAATGATAGTGAAATAATAGATGTGAATTTCAGTAAGATTAGTGTGCACATATTGTGCCTCTGCGTTGGAATTCTTCCTGGATGTTTCTCATTCATTGGCTATAAATCTTCTAGGTCAGACCTTCTCCATTGTTAACTGTGTGCATGTGCACACAAACACGCACCTTCTTGAGTTCACTATAAAAGATAAACCATCCCCTAACCCATTTCTGTTAATCTCTGCGGATGCTTGAGGTTTCGATAGACCCTACATTGGCTTGATTCCCCTCTTTCCTTCCTCCCCCCCAGCATATTTGGTGCAGCCCGCACCGGCAGCTACATGATGTACGTCGTCATGACCAAGGGGCTGAAGCAGTCTGTGTGCGACCAGGGCTTCTACAATGGACCGGTCAGCAAGTTCTGGGCGTACGCCTTTGTCCTCAGCAAGGCGCCAGAGCTCGGTAAGGGGAGCACAGGCTCCGTTTCGGGCTCCCAGACCCATAGCAGCATTATGGAGGCTCATGGGAGTTTTACTTACACAAAAATGTTCTGAGGGCAGAACGAAAAATGATTGGTCTGGAGAGGTAGCCAATCATTTTGTAGAGGAGGTGGCTGCAAGCAACTAAAGGAGGCAGGATCCAACTAATCAAATGTCTTGGTCCTGCCTCTTCTAGTTGCTTGGACCTACCTTCTTTACCATCTGATTGGCTACCTCTCTGGACCAATCATTTTTCGGATTTTGGACTAAACTCCCAAGAGCATCATGTGGGCAGGGGCCCCCACAGGGGAAAGACAGCAACTCTGCAGGAGGTTCATTATTCAATAAGCCAAATGCTGCAGGCAACTTTCAACCATGTTTGTTTCTGAAAAATGTATAAAAGTGAGTCAATGTTAATAATAATAGTGTTATGGCAGATTGTCACATTGATGCTGCAATTTATGCAGGATCTGGGCTGGCAGTTACGGGGTTAAAAACTGGGCACTTTGGATTGATTTGTTTACCGAGCGGCTGAATGAACGCCGCCCTGCCAGATTCCTCGGCGTCCGAGAGATGAGCTGGTCTCCTGCGAATCACCGTCGTGCGGCCAGATGCTTCCGAGACGTTCACTTACGTGTGGTTTCGCTGGAGCCGGTCCAGTTCCACTGAAGCACTGGACGAGTGCCTCGCCAACCAAGCGCGAGAACATGAGATGGACAAATGTGCTCAGTGCTGGAGTTTCCCCGGGTGGCATCCCCGTCTGCACAGCAGTGCATTCTGGGAAATGTAGTTACACACGTGCCTTGCTGCAATTTCGGACATACATACAAACACATGCACACACTTCTTTATTTCTTCTTTTGTGAGATTTGGTGTGATTGGGTTAGAAAATCCTTTGTGGTAGCCCCCAAGCTGAAGGGGAAAGGAGTAGTGGGACCTTTGAAGCACATACTCTTAATGTTGAACCTCTTGCATGAATGATCAATGTTAGGAATTCTGAACAACTGCTGCGGAAGTATCTGGGTTCAAAGGCATTATGTCTACGTTCAAAGCACTGGCTTCCTTTTTGTTAGCCTCCACGCTAATGGCTATTCCAAGTCAACTGGACTTTCTTTGCCTGCAGTCGTGCCCGTCACAGTGTAACAATGGACGTCTTGTCCGACCATCGGCTCCTTGTACTTTCTGCTCGCTATTCACTGTCTTCGTGTTTTTTCTTTCCGTCACCCCTCTCCCCTTTACTGTCCGCCACTGACTTTGTGCTCTCTGCTGCCCCCTAGGGGACACCCTCTTCATCGTGCTGCGGAAGCAGAAGCTGATCTTCCTGCACTGGTACCACCACATCACGGTCCTGCTGTACTCCTGGTACTCCTACAAGGACATGGTGGCCGGCGGCGGCTGGTTCATGACTATGAATTACCTGGTGCACGCCGTCATGTACTCATATTACGCCATGCGGGCAGCCGGCTTCCGCGTCTCGCGCAAGTTCGCCATGTTCATCACGCTGACGCAGATTGCGCAGATGGTGGTGGGCTGCGTGGTCAACTACCTGGTGTTCTCCTGGATGCAGCAGGGTCAGGAGTGCCCATCGCACGTGCAGAACATCGTGTGGTCCTCCCTCATGTACCTCAGCTACTTTGTGCTCTTCTGCCAGTTCTTCTTCGAGGCCTACATCAACAAGGCCAAGAGCAACGCCCAGAAAAAGGCCCAGTAGGACCGGGCCGAGCCGAGAGAAGAAGATAGAGGGGGGAGATCTGGTATGGACTCGAAAAGTTTGACTCGGGAGTTCGGGTGGTGTGGGTGGGGGGGGGGTTGGGGTGTGGGGGGGGGGGGGGGGGTTGGGGGGTGTGGGGAGCACATGGGGACCGGGGGGGGGGGGGGGGGGGGGCCTAGGATATGTGGCGCGTTCACGTGTGATTGTGCGCACAAGTACAAGTGTTAAAGGGAAACTTGCGCGGGGGCTCGGGGATCTTCACCAGCTAGCATTGAAGGATCCATAAACACGCCAACAGCAAGACTGCAAACGCTCGACGTGTATCGCCAGGGTTTTACCCCCCGAACGCGATCCACCACATTGACAGTATGCCCATGAAGTGTATGGAAAGTATACTGAAGGCAAGGAAGGGAGATGATTGGTGGATGGACGTGCAGTGACGTCGGCCCGGCAACAGATGGGGTCTAAGACAATAATTGGTTTATCGTTATCGCCAGTGTGCTTTTCTTTTTTTCTTTTTTTTTAAGTCATTGTACTCGTCACCACAAAACTCTGGGATGTCGAGCGACAGGTTGAGCAGAGGCTGCAGCCAGCGACCGCGGGCTCTAGTGGAACATTTACCGACCGCACCCCCCCCCCCCACCCATCACAAACTGAAAGAGTGGAACTGCAGGACCGTGACGGGTGAAAACGAAGCGCAGAGTTAATCATTAGCGTCACATCTGTGTCGTGCTGCTTTTGGAGGGTGAGGAGGGGGGGGGACAGGCGGCTTCTGGCGATTTCGTCAGATGGGCCTCTTTCATGCCGCCCGGGGCCATGTCGAGCGCATGCTTCGGCGCTTGACGGGGCGCAGCGCGTACGCACCTCTCGGGTCTGTGCGCCCTACCGCCCCCGGGGACGTGGGAAAGGAGTATTTAAAGTGAAAAGTAGCTTCATCCTAATCTAATTAGAAATCTCCGTCCCTTGTTGTTTTCGCTGTTGCGTGTTTTTAATTTTCACTTATCGCCGACCCAGCTGTAATATCACGCATTCCAACGCCAGGCGGGGGGTGGGGGGGGGCGAGGGCCACATGCCAAGGCCGAAAGGCATCCCCTAGGTAGCGAGAGAATGCCTTCCCAAGTCCGCTAACCGCATTCCCGAATACGGGATCATTAAGGGTACAGTCTCGGCCCGAATGATCTGTATTATCAGTTTGTTATGAATTTCACATCTGATCCGGTCATTTAGCTTGTGGTATCGACAAGCCTTGCTCAGCGCTGACTTTTATTGTGAAACTGAGCTGAGGGATTTTGGTTTGCTGACATTCCAGGGAACATTTTTGCGATTATTGTGCACCCGTGTCATACACATGTATCCTTTCCCCATTTTTCTACATTGTTTATTCACCTTTTAGATTTCCAAACATAGGTTCATGTCTGTTCGGCCCCAATACCACAAATTCTCAAATCTGTCGTCCCACAAACATCAAATCAAGCAGAACCACGTCCAAGTTCCGGAGCCGTTTTGATTGCAGTCCCTGCCGTCACGAGTGGGAGGTTCGCTGGATCGGGGACTTTATTCCTCTTTAAAACTCTCTGGTGACGCGTGAAAATATTAAACCATCAGTCAGATATGAAAAGGTGTTCCGAGTGTTTTATAGTGTTTGCCTATCACTGTTCCTCCTGTTTTATGGAACGGGTTCAAAGGTCTCATTACACGAGTGCCCTGGTTTGTATCCATAGCCACGACGTCGCTGAAATCTGGAATTGCTTTGTGTCATGGCGGCCAACGTGGATGCTTCCCTTTGCACCTGGCCGCCCCACAGCACCCCCAGATACAGACGTATTCCTCAAAAGCCATCGGTTCTCAACCGCGTCCCTGTCACCTCAGACAGCCCTCTGATAAACAAGCACATTAATTACAGCTTATCTGTTTGGGCTGGGCCTTGAAATCAGTGACAGCCGTTGATGGAAGGTGTCGATTTTTATCATAAATGAAAGATGCTTGCCGTCTGCTCCCTTACACTTCACAGCGTGTGATGTCGGGTCGTGTTTTTAATTTGAATGTGGTCCCTTAAATCGACGTGCGTATGCATTTGAAAAGTAGCCTTGGGATTTGAGTCAGTCAAAGAGGTGGCGTCGGGGCATCGAGAGATTTTTTTTACGCGCCCACAAACGCGGGGATGGCCTTGAGGATCGTGGGAGATATGGGCGAGTCTGTGTCGTTACTTTCTGATCAGTGTAATAGGTGAGCAGCTGCTGTGGTGATCGTGTCCCCCGTTTGGTGAATCATGTGTGGTGTTTGTTTATGGTCGTCTACCCGTAGTAGAGCACTGAAACGTGACACCACCCCTCCCCCCCACCGCACACCCTTGTGGTCTGTATTTACATAAGTCTCCTCTGTGCCCCGACCACACCTATCTGCACTTCCTCTCCGTTGTCAGACAGTGCGATGCCAACGTGGGTGAACAGCACCAACACACACAAACTCTCACTCTGCTGTGCAAACATAGCCATTAAACCTGTGCGTTATAATTTAAAAAAAAATGTGTCGACTGACAGAGATGAATTAACAGACTGAAACCAAGTTAACAGAAATTAGGGATCGGGGAAAAATTACCGCTGTGTATCTCCTGACACTTAAGTACCACAGGAAAGATCCTCATATCTGGATGTGTAAGAACTTCGCAGCCCAAAGTAAACATCAGTAAATACCTTGCTGGCTGCTTATGTTATGGTGTCTGTGGTATCCAGCTGCCCAAAAGTATCCAATCCCTTGTTCCTTGTTTCAGGCAACTAAATAGTTGGGTTTGGAACACTAAGACTATACATGATGTAACAGAAGGTACACAGGAGAGAATTTATGTAATTTATGGTACTGTCAGCACATAATTAATCAGCCACTGTTTTATACACTCTGTGGAACCAAAATAACTGGACCACTACAGCCTTGAAAATGTTCAAGAATTAAAATGATGTATCCACAAGTATCTGCAGAAATGCAAGTTAAACAATGTAAACTGGTTCCACTGGCCATAGAAACTGTCAAAAGAAGGGAATTTGATGATTGCAGTAAGTTTTGTATTCTGGAGCAAAGTTTGAATGCAGTGCGGCCCGTTCCTGTCTTTAAATGAAGATTTCAATTTGGGAATTATTTATATGAACTCTCTGGATTTATATGCCACAAAACAGACAAAGACATTCACGCTCACAAATAATATATCTTCTGAAGTTTTTGTTCGGCGATGTCGACAAGTGTTCTTGTATTTGTCTTCCCGTGATGTACAAGCAACCAACCATGAGCGCGTAGGATACAGTATTTAACGAACGCTGCTATTAGGAAAAGGTGTGGTGCAGTGTGGCGAACAAACCACAGGGGAAGGAGAGGAACCGCAGGGGAAGGGTAACTGACATATCACCTCCCGTTTGTTTACTGGGATTAGAGGGTGTAATACTGCTCTTTGAGTGTTCCGTGACATTCTGCAGCAGTGTTTTTAATTGCACTTGTTCCGGGGGGACGACTGACTGCGTGCGTGACTTCCTGTTCATTCCGGCGCATATTTATCCTGTCACCTCAACTTAAGATGGATTCTGGCAACTCACCTCACCAGCTCTGATGCATTCATGAAAAAACACCATCAACATACTTTAGTGCCCCCCCCCCACTGGGTTAAGAACAGGCCCGTCGCTTTCGTAAATCCTTGGCTGGCTCAAAGAGATGGGTATTCATGCGAATGAGGGTTATTCTCTCAATAGCCTGAGTCAACATGGCGCCTAGTGACAACTGAGTGATGGCAGGCTGGTCTAGGTGAGCTCAAAATACCTCATTGTTCTCCGCCGGATCTGCCCATCGTTCATCCCTACATGCTGTATAGAATAGGTGAGAATTTACTGAGAATTTAGAGAAGGCAATGTTGAAGTCAGCCTGAATCCCATTAAGGACCCCCACCATGTCTCTGTCTAGAATCTGTTGGATAGAATCCATTCCGTAATTTGTCATTTTCTGGATGACTTAATTGTAATTTTCACATAATAAAGATGTATGATAACATGCTGATGGTCTTATTATACTTAAATGTGCTGTAGAAGATGACGATTTACAAACATACACCTCTATAAACATAAGTGTCTTATTGTATGTACATCTATTTATGCAGACATACGGATAAAGGTTCTTGTGTGTAATTACAGTGAGAAGTACAAATTTAAGATTTTGACAGCTTAAGACAGTTGTGTTCTTTCAGTTATTTTGAAATGGATGGAAGTTTGCTGACCATGTGTTCAAGTAGAACTAGTTGTAATTCAAACTCTTCGTCCAGATGTTGCCTGGTAATTAGCCGAGGCAGGGGGAGAGTTTACCCGTGAATGATTTGCTGTAGTCTGGCTGCGTTTTAATGCTTCTCATGGCCTCGATGTCCCTGGGACAGAATAAATCACACTCACTTTGTACATTGCAGCCGCCGATATTACCCTCAAGATGCCGTCTGACCAAGCGAGTCTTCCACCTTCCTATACAGACATGCAAAGTCATTCTTGCTCGTGCACAAAATAAAATCCGTTCACATTTCACATGTGGTGTCTCTCCTTCTTTCTCCATTAAATATGTGATCACTGAGATGCTGCAGTGGTCTTCAGGAAACTCTGGGTGTGGAGGGCCAGTAACCAAGACCCAATATTGTGTTGACATCTGGTTAAAAGATAAAATCAGGACTGGGGAATGAAGTGATTCTGCAGAGAAAGCTCTTTGCTTTGAATGGGAACAAAGACACAAACTCCTATCTGCTTGAGTGCAAGGAAATAGTGCCAGAAGATTTTTCTAGATTGTCATGCTTCTTCTTTACAGTCCTCAGCAACACTCAAGGTCCCACTTCTAGGAACTAGAAGTGGAACAAAGTATAAATGGTAATCAGGACAGCCGTGGCGCTCATCTTAACGAAAAAACGCGAGAGGCGTTTCGCTCGCTTTGCGTCATGCGGAGATTTTCTCTGCGGCAGATTTGCATAGATGCAAACATCTGTGCCG